CTAGACTGACAAACCTCAAAGGGAAAGGGGTTGGGGGGTGGGAAGAAATAAACCAAAGAACTTATATGCATAACCAATGGACACAGACAATAGTGTGGGAAAAGGTGGGAGGGGGGCGGGAGTGGGGGGGAGAGGGTCAATGGGGGAAAAATGTGGAACATCTGTAATACATTTTACATCCAACAATAAAGATTTGGAAAAAAAAAGAAAAATCAGAGGCTGATGCCCTGCTGTTTGAACGATTTATGACTCTCTAATGTAAATTCAGCCACTTCTATTTCTTTATTTGAGTTGGTTTTAGAGTTTATTCAAAATAAGAAAGCAAACACAATAGCTTCTTGGGAAGTGAAATGAAGAATTTAGTTTTACTTAGCAATGGTCAGTGTGGTTGTAGTTGTGCACTTTCCTATTAGTTATCACTTTTTCCCACTTCACATTGTTCTCCCTCCAGCTTCTCTAGTATTACACCCCTTAATAAAATAGTTCAAGAATCTTAGCCCTGAGATTTAATTTGTGGGGAATGCAAGTAACCTAATTTGAGTTCCTCTGAAAGACGATTCTGATACAAAGACTTGTGTGCAGTAGTTTACCTTGGATATAATTACAAGAAGAACAAATGAGGAAACGGTAGAATGTGGGGCACGGAACAGAAAAAAAAATCTAGTAAAGTCTATGTAACAAATTAAATATGACTGTAGATAATTAGAGCTTAATCTTGCTATGGAACCTCTGAGAAACCTTATAAAATGTTCCTCAGAATTGTTCCATCAAAACTGCCATTTCCAGCCATGTTGGAGTAAAAAGAAACAGTCATAACCTTCTGCCACAAACAACTAGAAAACTCAACAAAATAAACAAAACAACTGTTTTTATAAATTGGACAGCAGGCAATAAAAGATTAGGGTCCCTGAGAAAAGGAACCAAACAGGTTAGGTCCACGTGATCACCCTAGCTTTTTTGCTGGAGCAATTCTGGAGCACTGCACAGGGAGGAAGACCATGAGAGAACACAGAGGCCTTGAGTTGAGGAGACACATGGGAACTGAGGTAACTAGAAGTGATGGAGTAGAGTTGCAGAAAGGAAATATTTGTTCAGGAAAATAGATCTCCCAAATCTACATCTAGGTCCTATAATGTCTGATCAGTACAAAGTCACACATGCACAGGGTGAAACTGAGCAATTCTTAGACCTCACTTAGGATAGAGAGATAGCTGAGGTCTGACTTGTTAGGGTGGAGAGAACTTGTGAGCACTCAGGGCATTTAGTAAAGGCACAGAAAGGACATGACTTAGCAATGCAGTCTTAGGGCTAAAAACTCTTCCTAGAAAACCCCACAAAGCTTAAAAACAACCTCATAAATATCACGTTGGTGCTTCAGTAACTTAATTGCCTGCCAGAATAGAAATAAAGACTAAAGGAAGAAAACAAAATCTTAACACTCATCAACACAAAATTCAAAATTTCTTTTACCCAGTCAAAATTTACTACACATGCCAAAGAGTAGAAACGTGTGACCCATAACCAGAGGGAAAAAAATTAGTCAATAGAAATCAACTCAGAAATGACAGAATAATAGAATTAGTAGGCAAGAATTTATAAATATTATAAATATGTTCAAGGGTTTAAAAGAAAATGTAAACATAATAGAGAAGTGGAAAGTGTATAGATAGATATAGATATATGACATAGATATAGATGTAATATAGCCATAGATAGATATAGGTATAGACATTGATATAGAAATAGATATATTGTGTAACTTCTAAAACTGTCCAACCAAGGAGGACTGAAAAATAGAATATTCACTCACTAACTCCTGCCCTTGGTGAGGGTTGCTTCTGAGGGCATAAAATTACAGCTCATCCTGCTCATCAGCTGAGCAAACTCTCTCTGTCATTTCCCCCTTCCCACACTCAAATGAAGAGAGCCCTCAAGAAGATAATCAGAAAGATAGAGGAGACTGAGTTAGAAGCTGTCAGCAGGACGGTATATTACCCATTGTAACTAATTGGTATGCAGAAGGGATGTGGAATAGGGCCATGGTGAAGAGAGCACGATCCCTTTTTGTTATTTGTGTGGGTAGTCAGAAAAAAAAGAGAAACAGTGTCATCTGTTACTCTGGATTGCCCCATTATGCTTTTGTAGGTCTGCCACCTCTGCCATCCCCATGTCTCTAGTTACTTCTGGAAGTCCTGAGAGGACATCTCAGTAGAACTCACAAAGAAGGACTCACAAGGACAGAATAGGCTCAGCCATCTTTCCTTCTTTCTGGCTCTAGTTCCTTTGGTGACACTGCTTATGAAACCTCAGTCATTGTTGCCATTGTTCTTTCATGCTGATGACCTCCAAAGTTGGGATGTGTCACGTAGCATTCTTTACTTACTTCCTTCACCCATGACCATCACCTTACACGCCCTTATGTCCCATTTCCTGTCATAATACTCTCGATGAAAGACTGCTTTGTACTTGTAAAGTCTCAGGACAATTTGGTGTGAAAACTGCACTACATATCCACTTGCTCCAGGACTAATGCTCATGGAGTTGGCCTGAGAACCAATGACAGATTTCTGAAGCCATCCCTACAACAACTTCATTCTATAGAGGGGAGATGAGGTTAGGTGAAGTCAAGACCACATAGTCAACAAGTAATAGAGCTAGAATTTACTCCAAAGTTTATTCAGTTCTTTGAAACCTGTCTTTAACCACCATATAAACACAAACATCTCCTCCTTTTTATGTTCTGTGTGACATATTGACAAGAGCTAAGTGGACAGTCCAGAATAATCAAGACAATGTTTAAGTGCAAGAACTGGTCTTAATTGTGAGGGCTTTATTGAGCCCTTGCGGTCCTACTTGTAAATATATTTCCCAATGTCTTTTGACTTGCGGTTAGGGAATGAATGGCTTTTATGGAGCTTCTAGAATGGTTTGCATTTATTTACTTCTATATAGTTCACAAATGTTGTTCCTTCTCATCTCATTTATAACTAACTTTTATAAACATTTATAACATTAGAGTTATAAAGTGATTATTGTTTTTAACTGTTTTAAGTGGATAAAAGCTCACAGAGGTTGTTCCTTGCTACTTAGAATAAAAGCACTTATTTACCCAGATACTTGGGGCAAACCAGATTTGATCTCAAGTATTCAGGCTGCTAGTCCCAGCTTCTTGCCTCTGCTAAAGGCTTTTATCTTAGGGCTCAGGATTTCCCGAACAAATCCTGAATCAGAGACAAGCATACACCCCACACCTCCACAGATATTGCTGCTTTTAAAGTTTGGGGTGTGGTTTCTTTTAGATTATAGGGATCTTTCCTCCCTTGACATACCAATTTTGTCTTGGAAACCTCAAGTGCTGCTGTCAACTTGGGGAAGTACTGAATGAATACCAAAGTCTAGAGGGCTTTTTCAAGCTAAACAATCTATCAAATTCCATAAAAATTGCACTAGGAAAAGTGGAAACTAATGCACTCAAATCTTAAAACCATTTTTTCTGATAAATTGGTATTAAGGATTAGGATAAACATTAAACTCACTGGTAGTTCCTTATAAATGAAGATTAAAAAATTAAACCAACTATCAGTTAGATTTTTCTCTAGGTGAAGTACTCCGCCATTCACTTCTGCTTCTACTGATGATACAAATTATTTCAGTTTTGAAGAAAAAAATCCACTTTACCACTATTTTACAACCAGTTCATTAAACTATTAATAATTGTTTGAAAACCATTCAGCAAAACCAATAAAATAGGGGTCCTTGTTAATATAACTATAAAAATCTAAATGTTTTTGAGGAGATAAACTTGAGTAGCAAGGTAGTAAGGAGCTCCTTGTTAACAACAGCAATAGGCCTGGCCAGTGTGGTTCTGTTGGTTGAGCATTAGGGTTCTTGGTTTGATTCCCAGTCAGGGCACATGCCCAGGTTTCAGGTTTGAAGGCAGCAGATATCTCTCTCTCTCTCTCTCTCTCTCTCTCTCTCTCTCCCCACTCTCTTCCTCTCTCTATTAAAAGAAAAAATAAACTAAAACTAATAATAATAAAAACAACAATAAACAGGAGCGGGCAAAGGTAGGCTCACAGTTGTGAATAAGCAAAGCACAGAGTTTATCCTTGTATTATTATTTATTAATATGTTTTTTCATATGAAAAACTATAAACTCACTTTTGCCCACCCCTATATACCAGTGACTCTTGCACTGAGGTGCAAGGGAGGGAACAGCTCACAGTTGGAAAACCACATCCTTGGGTAGGTGAGAGCCAAGGGGTGTGACAGCTGTCACCAGATGAAGTTAAACATAACCTGTAGTTTGATTTATTTGTTTATCCAGTTGAATGCCCAGGAAAAAATAAATATGAAAAACATTGATGTAAATCATCAGATTATCCAGTAAAGACAGTTGCTTTATTCCCAGGAAATGAAACAATGTTTATTTTTAAAAACTTTATTTTCTTTTTTTGGCAAAAACATCAATAAATACTTAAATCTCTTTCTTGTAAGAAACAAACAGTGCATAATTGACACTAAACAAGGCATTACACCTTACAGGAAAGACATAAAATGTCCAAGGGATATTTAGTTCTTAAAGCTTCACCATTCGAAATGTTGGCCACATACTGTGAAATTGTTGCAATAAATAACAACTGACATTCTTTTAAACACTTACGAAAAGAGATGTACACATATATTCACTGACCCTGACAATGACCTCACTATTGCTTGGATCCCCTGTCCTCTGTCATGGCAGCTGACATTGCTGCGGGATCCTCAGAAATATTACTTTAATGTCTACAGAACATTTGCATACATTTTACCTTCAAATTAAATAAGAATCCGAATTGGACGAACTTGGGTTTGACATAAAATAAACAATAAAAATAACAGTAGAGTGCCCAACTAGAGTCAATCACATCCTTAATGATTTTACTTGTGAAATATTAACATAGAATATTTGAAAACTAACCAATAAATAAATAAATAAGTAAAAGAACTATCCTAAGAGATACTCAAACATATTAAGCCCAATCCAGGTGGCTTTGGGAGCTCATGATTCTTCTTTTTCTTCTATGATTTCTGTAGGGCAGTGCCTGCTTCAGAAACAGCCACCAATCAGCTTCCTGCTTCCTCTGGTCAGTTGGAGCTGTCCCTAGAATGAGGAAAAGGGTGTCCTTAGTAGCTGCTCAGGGAAGCCAGCTGTACTGTACCCTCCTCCTATCCTGCCCTCTAGATACCAGTCTTTTGAATCTAGTTTTTCCCAACCTGGCATGAAGTGACTGCTTCTAGACTGTGGTTGAGACCTCTAGGCTCTTAGATGATCTTATTTAGGAATGCCAGGGGTGGGGGTGGGGGTGTCTGTGGTCCTTATTGAATTATTGGCTGTAAACAACCTAGAATCTCTTGGGTAGGTGAGTACCAAGAAGAGTGACATTGGATCGTTTGTCACACTGTGCCTCACTTAAGCCTCAGAGCTACCTCAGGTAGTAGCTACCATAGTTTTCCCTGTTTTACTGAGTCTAGATAAGCTAAAGAATTTTCCTTGAGGTATATGGCTAATAGGTGGTCAAATCCAGATTCGTACTCAGTACAGTGTCACTGCAAAGTCCCTGCTCTTCACCATTAACTAAGCTTTAGGGCCCGTGTTGCAGAGAAACAAGGATTCTACTTTTCAGGTGTGAAGCCCAGAAGAACTGGGTGGAAGCGGGGAGGTGGATGCCAGTGTTTTTTAATAGGTGGAAAGCTTTTTAGCATAACTTCCCAACTCCAATGAGAATTTTAATGAAGGTTGTTTTACCCCCATTCGTCTGCATGGAGATGGAGAGGGGAATAGGGATATAAAGACGGAGAGCTCCGGAAATATCCTTCCCACCCAGGGCAGATTAATGACCTTAATGGCAACTTTAATTGTGAAATAATAACTTTTTACTCCTTCAGCTGAACTCTGGGTTTCCCTGATATAATTTCCAGGAGGCAGATGCCAGTATCTGTCACAAACGACGCTAGCCCCGTAACTCACTTCTTCAGCACCTTATCCAGGAATATCTTAACCACAGGCGCTGCTGGGTTGAGACAAACTTCCTGCCCATCCTTGAGAATGGCTCTGCAGACAGAAGGGAGAAGCCACGTGAGACAGGAGGGCGGGCTGAGGGTCAGGGTGAGGGCATCTGGACAATGGAGGTGACAAGGACCGCAGTAGCAGCAGCAGCGAGTGGTGACACTTACATGACTTCGATTTGGGAGCAGTGGGGTCCTGGGAGTGTCACCTCCACACTCTGGATGATTTTGGGATGAACTCCCTGCTTGGTCTGCAAGCACTGGCAGCGCAGTTCACTAGCCACGGGCGCCCCTGCGGGGACAACAGACTCCGTTGGTGGGACTGTTCCCCCAGTGGGCGCCCACCCATCGTCCCTGTCCCGCCCTTGGGTTCCGAGTCTCACCTGCAGCGTGCCGGCAGGCGGCGACCAGGAGCAGGAGCAGCAGCGTGGCCCGGAGGAGCCCGGGGGCGCGGGGGGCGGCGACGGTCGCGGTGCGGGCCATGTGGCTCAGCTCGGTGGTTCGGGGCGACGGTGCCTGGAGCGCGAGAGCTGGCGGGAGAGCTGGTGGAGCGAGATCTGTGGCTCCTCGAGACGGGCGAACCCCTTTTATCTATGATCGGGGCTGGAAGCTCGCAGCCCCGGGCCCGGGAAATTCCCCGACTTGGTCGTTCTCCGTGGCGAGGGAGGCGCGGCCCCGCCCCAGAGGGGAGTCGAGGCAGGGGACCCAACGTGCGGCCCCACCCGGCTTCCCGCATGACTCGGGGACTCTGCGATGTTCTCTTTCCGCCCAAGTCCCCAAGGCAGGAGTGAGTTGCTGACACGCAGGAGCTGCTGCCTGAGAGGGGGAAGCTTGGGCGCCAGGTGCCCCCAGTGCGCAGGGCGGGGAGGGGCGGGGTGCGGATCCATGAGACCCTCCAACAAGGATGACACACCTTTAGAGGGAAAGAGTTGTTTTCTTAATTAACAGATGTAGAGAAGTCAAGGAGGGGTGAGGGGGTAAATTTTATTTGGCTATTTATATGTTATATTTATATATATTCCATGTCTCTCTAGATTTCTGTTGTGTGTGTGTATAAAATTAATGCTCTCTGTTATAAATACCGCAGTTATCTGGGACCAGGGAGGAATGTTCTACCTGTTCCCTTGTTTATATTCTCAAATCACACTTAGCGTATCTTGGTTTTATTTTCCATTTGGTGGTAAGAGGGATTAGTGTCAAAGCTGAATCCAGTGTTAATTTCAATGAAAATTGGAGGCTGTAATGTGACCTCTTCTGTACCCTGCTGAACTTCCTTATTCCCTCTTTAATGCGGTAACTTCCAAAATTCCTGGGAGATCTTTCAGGTGAGCGGTTCAGATCTGAACTATGACACACAGGGATGGTGGTCACTCAGAAACTGCTGGGGGGCTAGTAGAGCAGACTCGGGTTTACCATTTCTGGTCTATCCGTGGACAACATAAAGCCTGAACCCCAAAGAGGCCCTGAAGCACCCTAACTCTGATTGGAGGGGGATGAAATATGAAGCCCCTTTTCAGTTACTCCAGGACTTTCCGTGTTGGTTCCCTGTCTCTAGAAACAATCATTGATGCCTCTCTGTTTTCTGACCAGGAATTTCAGTCTTTTAACCTGAAACCTTTACTATTTTTTCAAATAGTAATACATGGACTGATTCAGCATAAGGTATAGAGGATTTAAGTGTAAATCTCCAGGCTGGATTCAGACCTCTTGGCGACATGGAATATGGTGGGAGGAGGGAGAGGAGAAAGGTATGCCTCTGGCCCAGGGATGTGTGCCCAGTGACAGGATTCCAGGCAACCCAGCTCAGTGGGTAAGAGTCTGCACCCCAGAGCCAGCCACCTGGCATGCAGTGAAGCCACCTGCATTTAGTTGCCATCTGTCACCTACCTACAAGTTAAAGATTTCTAGGCCTATCCCAATGTAGTTATGAGAAATGAGTCATCTGTGAGAGCCAGCATGGATTTAAGTGCCTTATAAATGTTTGTTAAATACATAAAATGGAAACAGCTCTTTCCAACATTGCCTAAACAGAAACTCAACCTGTGTGAATTCTATAAAGAAAAAAAAAAATTGAAGGAAGGTTTACTCTCAATTTTTCTTTTCACATTTAAAATTTCTGTCTCAGGCTTTCTAAAAGCAAGGTACATCTGAACTCTATTAAGAGATGAATTTATCTGTTTGTTTGTTTGTTTGTTTACTGTTGAGCTCTATCATTGGTTTTGTATCATAGTCCTACTTTCAATCGCCTCATCATAAAAAGGCAGTTTGAGATAAAGACTGTCTATATGATTTATTGGAAATAATTTATAAATTGAGTGACTATCTTTGGAAATACCCCAGTGTTTATCAGTATGGTCCTGAGAGAAAAACCAGGGAAATTAAAGAGACATTAAAATTTGTGTTAAGCAGTAGGAAACTAGAAATAATCTAAAGCTTATAAATGTGACTAGCTCATGAGTAATTGAGAGTTTGTGTGGTTACTCCTCTTGTTATCTATCATTTGCTAGGATTTGATGGAAAACTGGCCCAGAAATGCAAAACCTATTCTTTAAACTTGAAAGATGTATTGTTTTGTTTTCTAATTGTAAATTTAATACAGATTCATTTTACAAACTTTGTAAAAGTCGGAAAGGCATGAAGAGATTTTTTACCCTCTAATCGCTCTTAACTTTTGTTTATGGAACAGATTTTAACACATCACTGAAAATGTCCTATTATTTTCAACAGACATAGTAGCTGACAAGTTATAAGCCCTCACAAGACTGCATATGTATGAAACAGGCCACTTCCTTTATTTATTGCCACAGACCATGAACAAATTACTTAACACCAGTCGATGTTCTCTCTCAACATTCGGTACCCACTCCAAGGTCCACAACATTTATTTTGTGCTAAATTCCAGGTGGTCTTCTAACAGTTTTACAAATATTGCTCATTCAATATTCCAAATCTTGCTGTGAAGTAGATATTAGTGTTATCTTTATGAGATTTTAAGGTTAACTGAGGTGCAGAGAGGTTAAGTAACTTTCCTAAGGTCATAGAATACTAAGCCTGGTTCTCAAACTCAGAGAGAATGGCTTTTAACCATTATGCTGTCATGAAAACACTCTGTGATATATGGGAAAGAACTTCCAGAGAGAAATGATTTTTAAAGACCTGCTTGTTATTTGCTTGGCTGAATGCTTCAAGTTTGCATATTCCAAAATGCAAAAACAACAAAATGGTCATATACCTCTAGTGTTTTATTTCACTAACAGCACAGCTCTCTCTCGTGGCATTGTTATAGCTTGCTAGATTTTCTTCAAGTGTCCAATTCTGATAATAGTAAGAGTTATTCTAATGTGGAGAAATCTAGCAAACACCCATTCTTTAACTACATGATGAAGGTTAATATCATTGTGATGTCAGATGGAAATCATGTACTCACTGGTATGATATGATGATGAATAAGAAGGGTACATTACCTCTTTGGTATTTTTCCTAGAAGTTCATTACCCAAGTCTAACCAAATCTAAGTTGAGAAATGTTAAATAGCTGACTAGTACTCTTCAAAACTGTCAAGGTTATGAAAAACACCGATTCATGGACAGGAAAAGACTAAGGAACTGTCACAGTTTGGAGGGAAGTATGAAGACACAACAACTAGTTGCAATGTGGACTGCATCCTGAAACAGAAAAGGACAGCAAGTGGGGAAACTGGTGAAATCCACATAAAACCTGGAGGTTTGTTAATAGTAATGTGCCATTGTTGGTTTCTTAGCTTTGGCAAGTGTACCATGATAATATAAAATTTTCACAATGGACAACGTGGTGAAGGGTGAAGGGTACACTGAAACTGTACTATCTTTGTAACTTTTGAAAATGTAAAATTATTTCTAAATAAAAAGTTTGTTTCAAGACAAGTTTCTCTTTCTTAATAAATTTAGAATAGCCCCAAAATAGAACCAGTGGACATTCATGCTTTACCTGCTAGCTTCCCAGAAAAGGAATTGAATTTTTGTTGAGTTATTGAATTTTGTCTCAAATATAATAATACAAAATATCTGCTTCCTCTGTTTTGACACTTCACCATGTTTTACAGACTTAAATAATGTGTCTTCAGCATTAATCATGATTTCTAAATCTCTCATCTATTTCTTGTAACTGAAGAAAACCAAAGTGTTTGCTGTTATTGTCTCCAGACCCAACTGGGGCAAATGGGAATTATATAGAAAAATCAAAATTCTAATTTATGGACAGGATCTGCCAGTAAAGCAAATTGAGCCTGTCCAACATTCGTAGATTGTGTAAATTTGATTCCTGGGGATGGCTTAATCAAAATCACTTGTTTTCAGAAATAAAATAAAAAGGAAAATTTTCTTTTGGGTTGTTAATATTTTCTTGACATGTCATTCGAACCGATAAGATCTTCCTTAACCAAAATGTACAAATGTTAATAAGCACCAGGATGAGTCATCTTATTCTCTTGTTTGAACAAGTGTTTCTACAAGACAATGACTTTTGCAAGAGTTGATTGCCAGATTTTTATGCACACTCTTAAAAGAAAGGGAAGACTTTTAAAGAAAGGGAAGAATCTTTAAAATGGAAACTTTGGGGGTTAAATTCTTTTTGCCCTGTAATCACTATGAATCTTTCAGAATTGACGTTGAGTGCAACTGAGGATGATTACATCTTCCGGGTCCACTGTTTCACTTTACTCATCATTACTGCAGCCACTGACTGCATGGAGATATCAACTTAGAGCTCCTCACCTCAGCTGTACCAGGTACCTTTCTGCCCCAAAGTTTTTCTGTCACTATCATGAAATGTCTCTTACTCAACAAAGAAGAGGAGGCATTTAATAAACATGCCCCGTTCTTGCCCGGTGCTGTGGCCCAGTGGTTGAGCATCGACCCATGCACCAAGAGGTCACCAGTTTGATTCTTGGGCAGTGCACATGCCCAGGTTGTGGGCCAAGTCCCTAGTGGGGGACATGCAGGAGGCAGCCAGTTGCTATTCTCTCTCATTTATGTTTCAGTCTCTCTCTCTTCATCTTCCTTCCTCTCTCTAAAATCAATAAAGAAAAAAAAAAAGTCCCCTTCTTTCATGTTTTAAGCAGATAAGTCTACCTGATTACTCAGAGGGTCTCCAATAGGATTAAACCCCAGTTGCCCACACCCTTTTTTTCTACTTCATTTTTTTCCCAGTTTCCCTGTCCTGTCTATGGAGGACATTTTCCCAAATAAATCTGCCTGCATGGCAGGCTGATGACTCACTGTGCTTCTTTGAGGGCACTTAATGCGACAGCACTGTTGCATCCTGAGAATGAGCCACACTGACTGGCAGGCAGGAATGGGCAGTAGAGTTCTGCTGTCCCTAGCTTGCCTTAAGAGCTTATTCCTATACAACTTCCATATCTATTTCCCTAAAATTGCCTAATGACTCTGGCTCTGCAGGAAGAAGAGTGAAGATTTCTGAACATGACATTACATTTGTGGCTCAGT